TAGTGATTCACTACAGGAAGAAGTTGCTTGAAGTATTGATTAGATGTCATGACTAGTGGGATCCATAAAGTTGGATTTGAGGACCAATACTCGCCGAAGACAGTTACTCGCGTTCGCGTTATATATTTTGAGAATTGCCATAAGTTAGAATTGATAGAACAGTGAATCAAATGCCTACGACTTCACCTTGTAACCTGAAGGTTCTCTGTTTGATTCCCGTGATGGTCATCAGTGTATACTGCTAAAAAGACCCAAATCAGGACAGAACAGACAGGCAGTACTTTCTTGTCTTCAATGGTTCTCTTACTGAATCTAGTTCAGAATCAGTCTCAAAACCAATGAAATTTTCTACTCAGTAAAAGAGGTCTTTCATTCTGAGTGAAATCCATTCCAATTAGCAGTGATATAAAAAGGATAGAAGTCTTAAGATTCTCTGAGTATTTCGACCTTCTAGTTGCCTGGCGTTCGAAGGTGATTTAAGAATATTATCCCATCTGTTGATGCAGAACTGCCAGCTAGAACATAGTAGGCTTTCCCTGCAAGTATTCGGTTCGCAAAATTAAACGATTCCTTTAAACTTATTGTAAAGTTAGACTAAGAGCATTTTGCCTTAAACTGAGCGTGTAATACTTAGTATCATAAGATTCATTCAGCTGGATAGTTTAATTCAAAAGTGATTCAGCCCTGAAGACGTTTTCTAGAAAACGTGATAAGCACGACTGGAGTTAAAATGTCCTTTATTCTTGTAATTAAGTAGCCTTAAATCTCATAAATGATTCCATCCCCTAATATAACAAGTGGTATTCAAGAGGACGCTGTTAACTTAGTTGGTATTATTGTTAGGAATATAGTACCGCTACCCCTTCAGTGTCAGTTATTGGTCCCGATTTTATTTCAAAAAATGATGCTTTCAAGCCTACGTTTCAACTGGTAACTTCCATGTCAGTTCAATGACAACTAATTCTTATCGGACAACAGTAGAAGTTTTCAAAAACACGGTCTTAATGAAGTAACAAAAAATGAACTGTTTGTGAATTTGACCACTGTTACTTAAATCTTCTATTTGTTTTGCACTTAGTACACACTTTTAGAAAGTAAAGTATAAGCAGTTTTAAATTTGATGAGGTTTGTAGTTTTGTTATAATATGAGAAACAAAATACATTGATCCATTTGAATTATTTCTGCTTGATTTACGGAAGTTAAATTCACCGTGGCCCAAGTGGTCTAGTGGATAACGCTTTGGCGTTTGAAACTATGGGTACTGGGTTCGAGCCTGGGTGGGAACATCATCACTCACTGAGAAATGCAGGTATATACAGCTGACGAGTCCCAAAAGGACGAAATGCTCATCCTGGATTACACTGCTAGCTACCATCCACCAATAGTATATTAAATTCACATACGTCAAATTTTTTTTCTCAAGACATATCATCAACTTAAGTTATTTCGAGAAAGGTGTTACTCAAACAGAGATATAAGTAGTTTTTCAATGAGAAGAATAAACATAGGAAAAACGAAAAAAACATCACCAAATTTCATGTATCTTATTGATTATATGGAAATCTAGAATGTCTCTGGGTTTTATTTTATTCCTTTAAGTTTCCAGTGTTTATGTTTACGGGACAGGGTCTCTAATCTCATACCCAACTTTCTCTCTTTAGCAGTCTTATTACTGGTTTTGTGTGGTAAAGGAGTGCGCCGGCCGGGGATTGAACTCCGACCCACATTCGTGGTTGGTGAGGATTCTACCACTGTGCCACCGACGCATGTCTATGGATAATGTTTATTAATTTTTTATTCTCATTTACACCTTAAAAATGACTCAAGTCACACAGATGTCTTTGCTTCTTTGAATATATGAGACTGATTAGAATTCATCGTGGTAACTTCTCCACATTCCTGGATTCACCTAATTCACTCACCGCATATATACTTTCATAATCCAATCTTAGTTTCAATAAAAAAACTTGTATTTGGTAAACTGGTCAGAAGCATAAAATCCAAGGGTGAGAACTTTACACTTACTAGCAGTCACCTAGGATTTAAACAAGGTCATTATTAAATTTAAAGAAGGTCGTAAAAACCACCAGAGGATGGAAGTAGAAATATTAATCACAATTTCCAAATAGAACACTACACAATAGAGTACTTTGCAACCGTCTTGTTGATGGCTGAAAAACTCTAGAAATGATCGTGGACTAGGTTAAATAAATCTTGTGGATTAGTTGTTTCTATGTTCCCAAATTTGTGCTCTTACCAAAGCTTATATGTACGTGAATTTTGGTCGTCCACGAAGCCTTGTCATTAGTTAATGTTGTACAAATTAACATAAAGTCATTTTGAAGGAATGCTTTCCCCTTTCACCGCTAACATGGCATGCAACATTACCAGACTATAGATACTGTGGTGAGAGCTGGATGTTAGTCAAAATGGTGGACAGTAATTTACGTTATCAGTTAACATAACTGTACAGCACTGTGTGATTTATCAAAATAAAATCTTATCTACCACAGCGCCCAAGTTTTATACTTATATCAATAATTTACGTCAATGGTTATGTTCTAAATATTGGTCGTGAGAAAATATGAACAAGACTGATTCAACAACCGACCACAGCAGACTTTGCGTGGTGGATACATTTAACATATAGATGATCTGACATTCAAGAAACAGCCACAAAGAGATGCAAGGTTAACTTTCGGTGAGAAACAACCAATCAGAAGAGTGTGTTTGTTTGCCTGAATAAGCTATAATAATGTACATGAAAATATATAAATACGTGATTTCCATAATAAACGATCTGTTGCCTGGCCCTTGTCTTCTGTTGTTACAATACCACATAAATACTTAGTAATTTTAGTATTTTTCTTCGTCAAAATAATATACTTGCTCTCCAGAGCTATTTCTGTTCTCATAAAACATGACACCGAGACACTATTCTAGTTAGATGAAATACTCCATTACAGGCTACATCGTAATGACAAAATAAGTTCTCCATTTGTATTGAGCAGATTACATCAAATAATATACTTTTCCTTTTCCCAAGGCCTGAATTCATCGGCAGCAGATATTCTGTTAACCCTGGTGTAGTTTATCATCAAATTTAGAGTTAATAAGGAAAACTATGGGCAAAAACTGTCATAAGTAACTGTCGTAGAGAGTTATTACTTTGAAAAGATTTCCCATCATTAACCTGTCCAATTGATTTATAGATTTCAAATTAATCCCGTGCATAGATTTCAAGTTGTATGCTTCATGAGTAAACATTATTGTATTAAGCCAACATCTATTCTTAATCTCAACAACCAACCATGCATATATATATGTATATATACTTACCACGTCACTTCTGAAGTTGTCAGTTTGTTTACTTCCCTTATCGACAAACGTCAGGCGCGAGATTTGAACAGAGTAGAACTTAGATCTACTAAGATCGTCAAAAATCAATTACGCTATTTCGAAATTAAGTAAAAATACGCCTTAATAATATTGTATAGTGAATGAACTAACGTTTACGATATTTTATAAGATTAAATGAGTTATTTTAGCGGACATAGTAGTAGCTTTAGTTTATTTATTTACATTGCGATGATTCCTACATTTTGTCACATTCAAACAGAATATTCATTTAGGCTGAAATTGGCGTCGCATTAATAGAAACACAGATGATAACAAGTTTCCAATAGCTGTTTCACTGCAAATAAAAACGGATATCTATCACCATTAATTATTCGATGATTGACAGATGCAAATGTTTTGTGAAGCTACTTAGTTACACGTTACATTAAACCCCCAAAAAATGTAACGATTACCTCGAGATACATTCAAATACATAAGTGGACTGATAAACATACTGATGTTTGACGTAATCCTTCACATGATGCATAAATGTATGTTGAAAAATAAGGCCATTTTGCACTTACTATGATGATCTTTTTTCTCTGGTAGGACTTACTAATGGCTGACGTCAGCAGACCCAAAAATGAAGCCTTTTTATTTACTTATATGTGCAAAATAGCGTAAACATGTTTTTAGATACACTAGTAGTATTTGTACAAAAAATAAAAAACGGAGGGATCTAGGGACATAATAATTATCCATTGACACTTAGTAATATTAGTGAGAATAGTGAGGATTTAAAATCAATCCAGTATTCAGGATTTAAAAAAACTGCCTTCATCATACCACTATGCGGGAGTAAATCAGATTGTTTTGTTGTTTCAGTTTTGTTCATGGACTGATATCGTTTAGAGAAGTTGTTTCACCATAGTTTGATGCTCTTCAGGAGTACGCAACCAGTGGGTGTCGAACCCATGACCTTCCGAGTACAAGACAAGTTCGTAGACCATTCAGTTCCTGAGATCCAATTCAGTGGCCTGTGAATTCCAGCTCTCAGTAACTCGTGATTTTTACGAAGCTATAGCAAATGCCATCAGTGAATATTTGTCCTCACTCCGGATGTCTTCAATGAATGTGTCTCACTGGTCACAATTTCCACTAGAACTCTAGGAAATTATGTCCAATAGCCAGTCACTTGTGAGCATCGGATTAATTTTAAAGAGCTAATTTGTAGGGGCTTAATTCATTTTATTTTTAAACATGGTTTGATATCTGGCTAATATCATAATAGCGATCAAGATATAACTCATCTTTCAGTATGTACGTAACTGAGTCGGTTACTGGGCCAGTTCTTGATATATTTATGAGACAACCTGTACATACAGATATAGACAAAGAAGAGTAACTGTAGCACCAATATACCTGAGTCATTTCTAAATATGTGACCTAACATAAGATATATTTCATTTCGAGTGACATAATCCGACAACGCTACTTAACTTACCAGAAGTAAATGAATTGCTGGGACCATTATCATAAATCCCTAAAACCCATGAAGAGCTGATGATCTAGTGTAGAAACCTGTAATTAACATTATATCATGTTGTACTATGAGCTATAATCTTTTACCTACATAATGTATTTACTTCTCTTTTTACAGATTTATGATGGGGAATTAGGCGGACCGATGTGTGCAAAACTGATATCAGGAATTTCATTAATACTTTTATGGATTACATATGTTCTATTACTGTCACTGGAATCCTATGATGTAATAAATTGGGGTTTAGTTAGAAAACAATCAACCTGTCTTTGAGGAACTACAAGGACAGCATTCAGATATATTATGAATTCTTACTGTATTGTTCTGTTCAATCCTCGAAGATTTCGTTGACAAAGCATTTTCAGTTTTAACTTATATCAGTATTCCACAGATTAGTACTATAATATAGAACAAGAAATACAATTAGGTTTAACACTGATATTTACACTTCACTGAATTCAACATTTTTGACGGTTACATATGCATGAGACATAACAACCAGCTAAACTATTAGGCACAGACAAGTCAAAATTTAGAATACCTTATCAAACTCTTTGTTGAACCATTTCGTAGATAACACTTTTTTGAATACTGTTTAAATAAATCTACGTAGATTGAAAGGACATGTAACGTCTAAAATCAAAGATTATTTATATGAATTCATTTGTTTATTCATTATTTATTCAAACATACTTGGAGATAAATTTTATTTTTAGATTTTTTGAATGTAATTCAATTCTGTAGTCAAATAGAGATAATAATAATAACTGTAACTATGATCTCTTTTCTTTCCGAGTTGACAGTATTGTTTCATCGGTACTTATCCATTGCATTCTGTTCCCTGCACCGCTTTCAGCTGACTACGGGACTTCCTCCAAGCATTCATTTCTTCCTAGCTGTTAGCCTCGGAAGCCTAGTCTGTCAACTTCTACCTAGATCGCCTTCTGGAAATCACCAAGTGATGTTACTCAATATTCTCTTTGATCAATGTCCAATCCCTCTCGATTTCCTTCTGCATATTTATTCATTAATAGGTCTTTAGATGCTTTGTTGAACTTCCAGAGTCCCATAATGCTCATCCTTTCCTGATTCCTATATTTATTTTCAATAGTGAGTGAATATAGCTTTTGAAGAAAGTCTGCGGTCTGTTGGAAATGACATTGGTAACGCAAACGCCAGGTCTCTAAACCATATAGCAGTACTGAATTGACATCAGTGCTAAAAAATTAGGACCCACTCTTCTACTGTATGTCTTTTAAGACTCTACAGTGGTTTCAAATGATGAATGCCTGACATAAAACTTATTGTTTTAAGCATATACTTTGCCTATGAAGTCATTTTTTGTCAAAAAAAAAAAGAAGTTGAAGATTCCTGAAACGTGATATTTTCTAATGATTAGATCTTGACTTCTAAGTGACCATGAAATTAAAACAAATGCCCAGTTTGAAATTTGTATTCGCAAAAGTCTGATTTAATTCCATCATTGGATGGCGGACTAAAGAATTTTAAAAAACTACGTCGGTTGACAGCTGCTAACACTACAAAGTTAATAGACATTCGGTAAGTAATCTTTGATCTAAACAACACAGGAGAACTTTAAGAGGACTGCGGATAAATGAAAACTCACTTATAAGCGTGAAAAACGCATTGACACAGTATCATTAGACAAAAGTGATTACGCGACTACTAATCGAACTAAAGAGCCTAAGCTATGCACTGAGATTTGAAAGAGGTCACTTCATTCATTTATCTAGGGAGCATTGTTTCAACTACTGGAAGAACGGACGAGGATGTCAAATCGAGAATCAGAAAAGCGAGAAACACATTCATCAACCTGAAACCAATCTGGAAATCTTCGTCAATCAGCCATCATCAACAACAAAATTCGGTAGGATTTTCGATACAAACAACTCAAGTCAGTCACTTCTATATGGATCAGAAACTTGGCGGACGGGTCACAAAGAATATTTCCAACAGCCTGTTGCAGACGTTACGTTCATCAACCAACAACTGTCTTCGCTCTTTACTGAAGATCAGATGACCGGGACGGAAAGAATCACCAACAAGAACAAACAAAACAAGAACCAATCGCCAACCAACAAATATGCAGGAGAAAGTGGATGGAGATGGATTGGACACTCGCTGAGGGGCCACCGCAGGGTGACATCGCGCGCGTGTCAGGCCATTGCTCGAGTAGAACCCAAAAGGGAAGCGATGAGTGGGACGTCAATGCAAGGGTGACATCGGGGAGATCTTGTGAAGAGGAGTTGAAAGAGTAGGGACTAACGTGGATGCAGGTGAAAAGTATAGCAGAAGACAGAAGCAAATGGAGGCGTGCAGTTGAAGCCCTATGTTCCATTAGGAACCCATGGGAACAATAATAATAATAATGCACTCAGAAGTTAGTGCAGCCATTATCCCCCCATGGTCAGTTAAGACCTAAGCAACTTAAGATATCACCATCATCCCATATTGATTTTTTTCAGTCCTTCTCTTATCAACCCCTGTCTCTGTGTATGTTCATTAAAATATAGTTTATTTACTTTCTTCCCAATCTAGCGTTTCGAATTCGGACTATTTGTTTTTTCAAAGGCGTGTAAATCAGAGTAAAGCCTTATGAGAGCTAATTGAAAACAATGTTGTTCGCTTTCATGTGTTCTTTGTAAAAATTTCACCAAGAGACATTTAAAACAACTAGTGAAACGGATTGAATTTTCATTCGATTTCAGAAATGCAAATTTAAGTATTCTATAGTCATTCGTATTACCTTCTGTTATTATAACGTTTTACAAAACAGCAAAAATTGCAGCTATTTCTTTTCGTTGAATTAAACGTTAATGTTATGTAGCAAAACTTCAAAGAGATAACAGACTTGATATGCAACTATTCATATTACAGTTTCTATGGTTTCTTCACTGATTTCCAGAATTATGGCCTCACTTGGTATTGTATTGTGCAAAGCTTCTGTTGGGTCACTTTTTGCAATATTATATTTGACTAAATAAACAAGCGTTGTTCGCCTGAATCAATCTGAATTTAAATCCAACGATTCTCAAGTTCGCATGTTTTTCAGAACTTTTTGTAGCCATATACGAACATAATTATCCACAAGACCTTCTTTCATTGACCCTGAACTCTTTCCAACCTCATCAGCTACTCTTAATTACACAGAAAGACTTCCTTGCATGCATCATATATAAAATTTAGTAGAATAAATGATTTCACCTTACAGACGACAAGCTTATTTCTGATTTCATTTCTGAGTTTATAAGTCCCCATTACAAAGTACCAAAAATCTTGTAGAATAATTAGAAATATCAAGTAAATGTACTCAGCAGGAAGATTTTGATCTGCTAAATGACTCAACAATATAGGTTAGAATAAAAACTGCTTAGAAGGTGTACAGAAATGCAACAAAGCAGCAATCTAATTTCAAAAAGTGACATAACTGTTCAGGGTAATCTAAAAACCTATAAAGTGGGCTAATCTATTCATTTCTGCTTGAAATATCTAATTTTTATTAAGTAATTTAATTTAATTGTATATCCTGAATTTTAAAGCTTAAACAATTCGGTAGATGGTGTTTTTCACAGATAAATTGACTTACATTGAAAAATGTCATATTGTTCTTTTTTAAAATATTTATGACAATCGGTATGCATTAAAAGTTTCATTACAACGGTTTAAAAGAGCGGAACATGGTTGTATGAGATTCTTACTAGGCCTACACTTTTTCCTCCGCCTACCAAAAGGGTATTTTACGTTATGATTAGTTCATAATTTTATGTTAAGTAAGAACCGTAAACATTGAAGAATGAATGGAATTCAATTTCACTTCGTGTAGTCAAAGTCTCACACGAACGCACTTATTTGAAAATCTTTGAAGAGTGTAATGATATTATATGTCATTATCAAATGCAAATAATTAGATATTAAGTTCAATTGTACAGTCAACACAATATAAGTATTTTCATATATACAGAACAATATATAAATGAAGGCAAAGTTGTATAGTTCACTGTCTGAGCACCCATTACAAACGATAATGATAAATTTTACTGTGACACAGGATCTAAACCAAATGAAATAATTCAGTGATATTCTGATAAGGTGTAAATAAGTATCAAGGTGACAAGAAGGAGAGAAATATATTGAAGATACGGTGTGCTTCTATTTATCAGTAGTATATAAAGAGAAGTTCATCGGCATGAACGCACCTTTAAAATAACTCTTTTAACTAGATATGTTACTCAGCGAAGCAAAATAAATATTATAAGTACCTCCGCAATTTGGAAACTGAAGATCTTAGTTAGATTATTTAAGTTTTTTAACCGATCAGAAACTTCCACTTGCAAAGCATACTATTTGCCATGGGATCACCAATATCCCCGGTTGTAGCAGATATATTCATGGATAGGTGGGAAAATAGCGATTGAAAAGTTTATCCCCACCCAAAATTATGGTGGGGTTTGTAGATGACACATTCACTGTACCTAGAACACAAGATATAGATAGATTTTTCGAACATATCAACTCGAAGTATATACAGTAATGAAAGTGTTATTTAAACCCACCAACTCAATTAGAAACAAGTCTCGTCCGTTGAAGGATCCTGTGGAGCCGTTAAAACAAAACAATTTAGTTTATCTAATACCCTGCCTGTGATGATTTCAGGTCAAATACATAAGTCAAACTGCTAGAACAGGTGCAGTCACACTAGCTTAACGTAAAAAACCTAGCAAATCTGGATTAGTTGACCCGAATAAGATAAGAAATCTAGAGAATAGTTCAGCTTTAGCACTACATGCAGTTACACACAGCCGTACAATAGAATGGGATAGGATGACAGTTTTAAAACCTTATGTCACACGGGGGAGGAAGAGACTGATAATAGCAGCTTTGTTTATCGAATCAACTGCAAATACGTGTAATAGCAATGATTCAACCAACACCTGTCCACCCGGATATCTGGAAAATTCTACTACCCTATGACGCCAAATAGGAGAGGACAGAGAAAACTATAAAACTCAAGTTTCGAAGTCGTGTGATTACACTTGATATGATTATGAACAATAAATTTTGTTCGAAACCTTGTCATTCAGTAAATAATAATACTGTTTCACTGTGTGATACATCTAATAAACAAACTAATAAGGAATTACTGACTACCGCAGTGCCCAAGTTTTACACATATATTAACATACCGTTTCAAATGATAAATAATACGTCAAGTTGTGTGAACTAGCATACTTCCCCGAAGCGTCGGTGGCACA